CATTAGGCCTCTCCCTCCATGTTCTCGTTTTATTGTTAGTCTCTCTATGGCGGATTTAGGGTGTAGGTTATTGTGTTTCGTGAGTGTTGTACGTGTAGTTCGCTCTAATTGTTCTGCATCAGTTTTGGACCATTTTATAACTCCGAATGAGTACGTTAATATGGGGATGGCATAGGTGTTAATGGCTTTGATGAGATGTTTACTTGAAAGTTGAGTTTTACAAACGGCGTTAAGTCTTCTCTTGTATTCCGTAGTGAGAGAATTTTTAATTCGTACGTGGTCAAGACTTTTAAGTTGGGCATACCCTAAATATTTGTATAAGTCAGTCGATTCCATTGCTGTAATAGCCTCCGTTTCATTTACCACATAGTCACCGGGCCTTACTTTGCCTCTTACAATGTGAAGTGTTTTACATTTATCTAAACCAAAATGCATATTAATATCGCTACTGAATTCTGTTGTTATATCTATTAATTTCTTCATATCCTTGTCTGTTTTTGCATATAATTTGATGTCGTCCATGTATATAAGATGCGATATTGTTGTTTCGCCTGTATTAAGTTTGAGGCAATATCCGGCCCCGCAGCTCTGCAGCAAATGAGACAGAGGGTTTAGGGCGAGACAGAACCACAGTGGGCTCAGGGAGTCACCTTGGTAGATGCCTTTTGTGATTGAGATTTGTTGCGTGGTGACAGTATTTTGGTTACAATTTATTTGTAGTGTTGTTTTCCATTGTAACATTATTCGGCGTAAGAAATCGATTATTTTCGGATTTATTCTATAAATTTCTAATATTTTTAATAACCATGAATGAGGAACACTGTCAAACGCTTTTTTATAATCAATATAGGTGCAATGTAAATTTCTATTTTTAGAGGTGGCGTGTTTATGAATAGTGGAATCAATTATCAGCTGTTCTTTACATCCCATGTGGCCCTGTCTACATCCCTTCTGTTCTTCTGCTATTATATTGTGGTGTTCAATATGCGCCTGAATTTTCTTTGTGATTGCAGATGTCAATATTTTGTAAATTGTGGGTAGGCATGTAATTGGTCGGTATTGGGAAGGCTGAGGTGAATTTTTTGTTTTAGGTAGCATATAAGTAATTCCTGTTGCAATAAATTCGGGAGTGTTCTGTTGTCCTGTTATTATATCTGTTAAATTTCTTGCTAAAGGTTTGTGTAGAGACGTTAATTTTTTGTACCAAAAATTATGAATTTTGTCTATACCAGGTGATTTCCAATTATGTAACCTAGCTGTAATGAGTGTTATGTCTAACTCTGTTACCTCTTCGAATTCCATTTCGTCAATATCTCTCCATTTTGCTTCCTCTTCAATTATCCAAGATGCTTTGTCGTTATGTTGTTTTTGCTCTTCCCAAATACTCGCCCAATATGCTTCTAGTTGTTCTTTTGTAGGTAGGTTAGGTGTATGTGTGTTACGTTCATCGATTATGTCTGTTTGTGGTTTGTGTAAGTTTCTATAAAACAATTTTTCGTTTGTGGCAAATCTGACGTTATCTTTTTTTGCGCTGTTGTGCTTTTTTATACCTTTTGAGCCTATGAACTTTAAGTGCTAATTTTTGTTTTAACGTGTCTAAAAATTCTTCAGGTCTTGTGTTACTTTTTTCGTGTCTGGTATGCGTAGCATTATTCCTAAATATGACCTCTACTTTTTTGACTAGTTTATTAGATCTACAACCGTTAATATACTGAGTGAGTCTACCTATGTTTGCTCTTAATTTTTCAATGTCTTTTTCTAGTCTCTGTTGCCATGCTGGTTCTGTATTTTGTCTCGTTCTTGTAGTTCTTGCATTGTCTGTGATTTTAAAGTTCAATTCTTCGGATATTACTATCGCTGTGCAGTATATAAGTAAATGTATGTCTATAAGTTGTGTGTCATCAGATATATATTGTGTGAGTATAGTTTCATTAAATAAATTAACCAGTCGAAACAGGTTAGGTGTGTACTTAAGTTTAGGTAATCTTGGTCGCGCTGCGGGATCCATCCCAGAGTATAACGTTATTGTTGTTCTAAATTTCTCATTGATTTCTTGGATATATGTATCTGTTGTTAAGTGTTGATCTGGGACAACTATGGTCTCAATATCATTTTCTAGCGTTAGGATTACGGTTTCGGTTTGTGTGGATGTGTGTGATATTTGTGAATGGTCGCATGGCTGAGATTGTGTATAAATGAGTTGTGATTGACTGAGCAATTGTGGTTGTACTTGGCGATCATTTTCACTTGTGTTTTGTGTGATATTAGTTTCTACATAGCTGTTAGTCGCTTCTTCTTGAATTAATTGTGTTCGTACTTCTTCTTTTAATTGATCTATAACTTCTTGGGATAGAAGTTTATTCCTAACTATGGTTCTTCTTTGGTCTGAGATTCTTTGTTCTGAAACAGTAATTTCTGGATATTGTCGAGTGAAATGTGCGTGTAATTGTTGTCTGTACGTGGTCATATCGGTCTCTAATTTAGTAATGTATAGATAAGTTCTCATGATAAATAGATTTACTTCTTTACTCCATTTCATTCGAACTCTTGCTTTTCCAGCCTTGGTGGACGCGGGTAAGAAGGTAGATACCTCCCGCGCAGCACTTAAGGTCGGAGTAGGTGGAACTGTATTTAAACTAGTAATAGGGGGTGATGGAGGTGTTGGTGACGATGGTATGGATGGTGATGTTGGCCTCGAGGGTGTGTATGATACTGTGCTTGGACTATATGGTTCTACAGGGGTGTCTGTCCTGTCCGTCAGTCTGTCACCATCGTCAATGAGTTCGGCTGTAGTATCTTTGTGGGTGGGAGCCCGCCTGTTCAACTCCTCACCGCTGACGGATCGCATGCTGTGACACCCAGCGTCAGCTCCAGGTGCACCCCGGCGATCGCCCCCGGGTAGCGGCCACTTTTACAGAGTCTCCATTTTATTTATGGGTTTCCAGAGCCACGTTAGCCACGCCAGTAATTTCTCATTCGTGTGTCCGCCCCCCACGTGATTAGATGGTCAATCAGGACGTGTGGTTGTTTAGGGGGCTTATTATTATTATATATTATAATTATTTGTAATTAAAAATTTTGAAAAAATGTCATAAATTTGTATATAAAAGATTTGTATATATTCGTAATAAACTTTTTCCCGTCCTTATATACTTACTAGATGAAATTTTTTACTGTCTGGAAAAAATAGGGTGTAACATGTGAACGGAGTAGAAGGCTATGGCACTAATATTTTACGAAAAATAAAAACAAAAATTTTTAATTAAATAAATTAGTTAAATACGCTAGTAATATATGTCAATGGTTAAAATCTATCAAAATTCAAATTTTATCCACCATAACATATGACCTTGCGAAGTGACAAGGTCAAAGATGCGTACTAAATTTATTGTTATATTGCCGTTCGTAAAATAGGGTGGATATGATTTGAATTTCGATTATTTAGCCGGTTTATTATTTCTTCTGGTATTACCCTTGAATAATCGATAAATCGAATACACCTAAGTGTAACTAACAACAAACGGCTTTACCTGTTTGTAGTCAGATATATATGAACATATAGCCGATTTTTTTAAAAATAGAATGGTATGACAAACGATCACACGATTCCGCTGTAACATATAGACATCTTCATTTATCTTCGATTAAGAATCAAAATGCAGATGCGTTTTCACCCGTGAGGACTACGATAGAACGCCTCATTTTCAGTAAAATGGGTCTCCAGTTCTCTACACTCACCATACGAAACACAGCAGTATTAAGCTGTTATTTTACGCTGGTATTCCATGAGAGCATGGTCCTACCCCGATCGAGTCGATCCATTCGTGCTGCAAATCATAATATAGCTGCAGAATGACTCTAACAAGTTTAATTTAATTATTCGTCCTGTTATCGAATCAGTAGTCACATTATTCTCGTTTAAATAAGATTTCGAATTGACGACTTTCTTTCTCTCAAGACCGATTTACACTTTGACAAGTACAGTAGCGAGTTTAGTTACAGGACAGTTGACATTAAATGGTTAAGTGGGCAGTAGCGTTCAAACAATGTCTTCGTGGCGAGTTTAGTTAAGGACATTAGTTCATAGATTTCGTGGGAGTATGACGTTTCAAGACTACAGAATTTTTCTGGTTTTCGTTTAAGATGGTTCTAGGATTACGTCAAGAATTAAATGATCCAGTCAGAGAAGTATTAATGGTTGTTGTTAAAGAAGTTTTTAAGAATTTTCATGAGTGCAGCATCTCAAGCAGGTTTAATTTTACAATTTGAACTTCTAGTATTATATAAACATTCGTGTTCTAAATACTCCTGTACGAAATTATACGTGATATCTTCCGTCCATTATACTATTAAAACCCAATATAAAACTCATAAATATTCAATAATCAGTATCGTACAAACTTTGTGGCGAGTTTAATTATAAAAGTACAATTGTACGTTTTGGCGCGCAAACGTTGCGTCCTGTCAATTTATGCACTGAACTAAACTCACTCGTTTACACGAACGGCGAGTTTAGTTGCGGGTGGCGGGAGACGCGCGGGAGGGCAGCACTTCGCACTAACTCGCCGAAAAATAGCTTGGCCGGCTATCCCGTTCAACTTAATCGTTAACTTGCTACTTAACTCGCTTATTGCCATTCAAACGAGGTTTAAACTTAACTCGCCAGGTTCGCAAGTTAACTCGCTACTGTACTTGTCGAAGTGTAAATCGGTCTTTAGGGATATTTCTTGTAAATATTTCAAAGAAAGTGATAGATTCTCCAACACTTGGCACCCTTATATTTTACTATGTACATATCGAGATTTGTAAATTAACCCATGTTCACAAAATAAACTGATTTAAAAAATACCTTTTCACCTGTGGTGCAATATGCCGAATTATTAATTCGTAAAGATACAACAAATATTATATTACAAATATCATTTAATCAAAACAGATTTACAAATGCGATTGGAGTGACACGTATCAAAATTTATTACAAAATCAACAAAATTAGTTCGTTAGAGCGGCGAGAACTGTATCATTGTCTTGATGTCTTTGAGGAGAATTTCCACGAATCCTCGCTGTATTGGCGGCTCGTTCTGTAAAAACAAAATGATTATTATATATTTACCTATTATAAGACAGTAATTTACTACACTGCTACGTGGTAAGTGTTGCTGGTAAGCCCTAAATAGTAAATCGCATTGTCTTAGCGTAACAAAAGCCTATTCACTCTTGCCTTTAAGACACCTAGATTGTATTCCGACGGAAAGACTTCTTCCCTTGCCGTTCGCACGCAAACCGTTTAGTTTGAATGCTAGAGTACAGCACAATCTACTAATAAAAGGAATGGAAAATATACTCAAAGTAACAGAATTATAGATTTAATTCAGATTGAGATTGAAGGACATCTTCAAACTTTTCTCTACATATTTTTCATATATGTATGACAAAGCCGGTATCAATAAAGCTCGTCGTTTCCCATTCAACCATAACATCATCTATTTCTATTTCTACCATAACATCTTACATTTTCTGATATACAATGATGATGCCAACAAAGCTATAAAACAGTCTTCGTTTACGCGTCGCTTTACTTAAACTATATACCATTACAGTAATTATAACAGCTCTTAATCCTTCTAACAGAAACACAGACTTCTTTGTATTGCTTGGCAACAGAAAAAGATCGTTGTAGATAGAACCAACTCAAAAAGACGGTGGTACCAACCCAGGACGAGCTCCTAAGCAAACAAGTTGACCTTATCTCATCATCAGAGACAAAACATTATGAATCAAAAATATAACCATACCTTGACAGTTTCCAGGAGTTCTTCAACAAAGCGATCGTTAAAGAGGGCCACGAATTCCTTGCGCAGTTCCAGCAGCTCATCTCCACCTTTCATCATATCCGTTGCGCTCACCCCTAAAATGGTATCCACAATTGTAATTAACAGTCACATCAGCGAATCGTCATCCCATTAATCGACTGCTGTATATCGGTTCAATCCCCACGCTGTGTCCATAGGTTATCATCAGTTTTAACACCAAATCGTTATATTTATCACAATATCGTAAGAAAAAAACTTGTTTACCGGAGACCCTTTTTACTGGAAATGAGGCATTCCATCTTAGTCTTCACGGGTAACAACGCATCTGCATTTTGATTCGTAATCAAAGATAAATGTAGATGTCTGTGGGCCACAGCAACCACTTACCATCAGGTGGACTGTGTGGTTTGTCACCCTATCCTATAAAAAAAAAAAATTTCGATCATGTGTTTTTTAAAGTTGGGGAGTGATACACACACACACACACGCACGCACGCACGCACGCACGCACGCACGTATGCACGCACGCACACACGCACGCACGCACGCACGCACGCACGCGCACGCGCACGCGCACGCGCACGCACGCACGCACACACACACACACACACACGCACGCACACACACACGCACGCACGCACGCACGCACGCACACACACACGCACACACACACACGCACGCGCGCGCCCACACGCACACACGCACGCACGCACACACACGCACGCACACACACACATGCATACACACGCACGCATACACCCACACGCACACACACACGCACACACACACACGCACGCACACACACACACACACACACACACACATTATCGTAAGAAGAAAATATGATCATCGATCATGTGTTTCTTAAAGTTGGGGAATGATACACACACGCACGCACGTACTTATAAACGTAAACACGCAAACACGTTATCACTCACACCCGCACGCACGTACACAAGCACACACGCTCACACGCATTCACGCACTCATGCAATCATGCACACACGTTATCACGCACACTCACACGTACTCACAGACACACGCACGCACGCACGCACGTACACACGCCCACACGCCCATGTGTACATACGCGCAAACACAGGCAAAAACACACACACGTACCGCGCTGGTGTGTCTGCGCGTGCGCCCACAGCAGCTGCAGCGCGCCTGCCAGCGTTCCGGCGCAATACTGTACATGCACTCAAACTCACACACACACACACACACACACACACACACACACACTTACACACACGTACCGCACAAGTATGTCCGCCCGTGCGCCCACAGCAGCTGCAGCGCGCCTGCCAGCGCTCCGGCGCAGTACTGTACACGCACTCACACACACGTACTGCACAGGTATGTCCGCGCGTGCACCCGCAGCAGCGGCAGCGCGCCCGCCAGCGCTCCGGCGCAGTACTGTACACGCACTCACACACTCACACTCACACACACACACACACACACACACACACACACACACACACACTCACACGTACCGCGCAGGTGTGTCCGCGCGTGCGCCCACAGCAGCTGCAGCGCGCCCGCCAGCGCTCCAGCGCAGTAATGCAGCTCGCGGCGCCGCGTGCGCACGCGCTCCCGCAGCAGCGACACCACGCCTGCGCGCACCTCTACCGGCGACGCGCTCGCCGGCGTCTCCTCGCCCAGTAACTTCTTCATGTCTGCACAGATACAATATTTTGTTAGTATTTCACAAATAAAAGTGATAATTGGTTATTAAATAGATAATATTATATTTTACTGATTACGGATATTTTTTATGGTACTAATGTTACAATACATCTGGCTTTCTTATATATTTTGCTTGTTTTCAGAGATCACAAACTCATGGGTTTACTGCGTAGCACGCTGTGCAGCTGCTACCAGCGGACCTGCGCTTGTGCGTTTGAGAGAGACGAGCAGGGTGAGTGCGATACTATCAATCGTCATGGCGGGCACGCTGTACTCTGGTGAGCGACGGTGGCCAGCAGCTTGACCAGCTGGCGGTGGCGCCGCGCCAGGTGCTTCAGCAGCACGCGCGCTGCGCTATTGTGCGTACGCATGTGAGAAACACAGCAGGGAGAGTGCGGTACCGTCGAGAGTCATGGCGGGTGCGCTGTGCAGCTGGTGCGTGACAGTGGGCAGAAGCTTGGCCAGCAGGCGGTGGCGCCGCGCCAGGTGCTGCAGCAGCACGCGCGCTGCGCTCATGTGCGCATGCGTGTGACACACACAGCAGGGAGGGTGCGGTACCGTCGAGAGTCATGGCGGGTGCGCTGTGCAGCTGGTGCGTGACAGTGGGCAGAAGCTTGGCCAGCAGGCGGTGGCGTTGCGCCAGGTGCTGCAGCAGCACGCGCGCTGCACTCATGTGCGCATGCGTGTGACACACAGCAGGGAGAGTGCGGTACCGTCGAGCGTCATGGCGGGCACGCTGTGTAGCTGGTGCGTGACGGTGGCCAGCAGCTTGGCCAGCAGGCGGTGGCGCCGCGCCAGGTGCTGCAGAAGAACGCGCGCAGCACTCGCCGCTCCCACCGCTTCACGTGAACCACCCTCGCTCTCCAACGCACTTAGAGCATACACCAACAAGTTGCACACGATCTGCAGACGAGCGATTTGTATTATTACAGCCACATAGCATTTAACAAAATATTCGTTTAGCATATAATTCAACAATGAACTATAATTTAGAGTATAAACAGGTCTGTCTGAACTACGCTGCGCGGCCGCCTACAAGAGGCTAGTTCAATGAGGTTGTCACTCGCACGCTCGAGCTGATGTGCGCCTTACGTTAACAAAAAGTATTTAGGCACTTTGATATTTGTTTTTGAGTTTTTATTCAAGTATGGCCACCTAAAAAGCCAAAAGGTCCTTGCATAGCATACGTGTGCTTAAATAACAATAGGAATGTCGACTTTTCATTATTTACTGTTCCTAATGATACCGAAAGTTAAGATATTATTATTTATAGATATATATATATATATATATATATATATATATATATATATATATATATATATATATATATCATCATCATCATCATCACAGCCCTTCACAAGTCCACTGCTGAACATAGGCCTGAACATATGCCTATGTTCAGCAGTGGATATATATATATATATATATATATATATATATATATAATTATTTGACTAGCGACCCGACCACAGCTTCGCAGTTTTCGATTTTTTCGCGTATAACGTCAATGACCTTAAATAATCGTTCAGTGTAAGTAGACCTCCCAGTACTAGTTACTGCCTACTTGTGCGAGATCAGTATATACTGGCTATTGATTAAACACTTGGTCGATAAAATAAAGATATCAAAAATAGTAGTAGCACTTCCCATTGCCACTCTTTCATTAATAATGCTGTCACGTGTCGCATGTAAGTAAATATCAAAAAATTATGTAAAACATAAAATAGTAAGTTGGTAAATTATCTAAATTTCAAAGACGTTCACATTGTTATAATTTAAATTTTTCTAGATGTTGCATAATAACCTTCCTCACATTGAACACGAATGTTCTTATTATCAGCAAATTACTAGTTCATTGCTACATTGCATAACATCTCGGTGTATTCTACTGCCTACTAATATCAAAGGATTCAATTTGTTTTCTCACAACACGTAACCATACAGTAGGAGCGGCCTTAACAAAGGGCGTAAAGGGCTAAGTGATACAGACACTCCCACATGGACGAAAGGTGCATTTTGATTTAATACGCGCGCCACATAACTTTTTTTGTAGGCTAAGGTCGCTTCCGAGGCGTGCATTAATGAACATTAGCGACGTTGTAACTAGGTTTAAACTCGCAAATTTGCTATCAGAGGTTGATCCTTCTGTTCTTGAACCAATATTTATTCTGTGGTATAAATAAGCTTTATCAATTGCAATCAAGTATAAACTATCTCAAAAATGCAGTGCAAATACGTTCCGTCCAATACGTTATTTTGGTGGTTCTTTGGACCAGATTTAAAGAGAGTACAAATTAACTAACTAAAAAGTATTGTCGAGGTAACTTTTGTAGTTCTACAAAATATTAAGGATAAAGAAAGCAATCTGTTTTATTTCTAATATATAATTAAATATTATGCACGTTAGACAGAAATATGACGACATATGTCGGCATATAGCACATAACTTCAACTGTATTAATTATGTATGATGTGCAAATTGTTTGCATTTATATTGTTAATAACTTTATGTCGTGAGAAAATGAAATTGTGTCCGTGCGTATTTGTATGTGCGTGTGTACGTGCGTATATACGTGTGCGTGCGAGTGGCACCTTGCAGTAGAGGCGCGCGTCGGTGGCGTCTTGCGTTGCGGGCGGCGGCTGCTGGAAGCGCGGCAGCAGCGCCAGCATGAGCCAGCGCAGGCGCTGCAGGCCCGCTTCGCAGCGCTGCAGCGTCGGCTCCGCGCACACCTGCGCCAGCACCTCGCGGTGCGACGCGCGCGCTATCACTGACGTCAGCGCCTCCAGCTCCACCAGCAGCCCCTCCGGTGACGTCGGATGAGCCGCCCTGCACGACAACGACACATCATGTCCAAAGCAAGGACTCCCAACCAACGTAAAATTGCCAACTTTTGTGGTGTCAACACGTGTTGGTGACAAAAGTTTCTGTAAATTACCTTGTGTTGGCAACAAAAATTGTACAAATGTCGGGAACCGTGTTTCGGTTCCTAGCTATAAAAATCAAAAGAATACGCTTGCAAACATTTATTCGCTTTGTGGGTACGCTCACAGTTGGAAACATTTGTTGGCAACATGTCTGTCACGAATGAATTAACCGACACGTTAACTGATTTACGTCAATCACAAAGTGTACTATGGGATTTAAGTGATGAAAATAGCAAAACTATAAACATGAATAAGATGCATAGAAAACTATCAGCAATACCACAACCTAAAAACATAATCCGTCATCACGTTTGATGTTGTCGGAAAAGCCGGCATAAACAATAAATTGCTAGGGTTGTCAGAACAGGAAATAATAAAATATAAAAAACGGATTTTATTTTATTTCACGTTTAAAGAAATTAAATACCATAATTATGGTTCATAAAAGATAGCTTGATCTCTGCGACAGCTGTCAGTAAAAATCACGCCTATGAAGTCCTGAATTTCTTAGTAGTACAGACAGTACCTGTCAATGTCATACTTTATGGGCATGCACTAATTAGGTCGGCATGACCATTAAGTATGACATTGACAGGTACTGTGTGTCTGTACTACTAAGAAATTCAGGACTTCATAGGCGTGATTTTACTAACAACTGTCGCAGAGATCAAGCTAACTTTTATGAACTATAGACAATTAGACTTCAGAAATAATAAAAATATCTTATAACAACTTTAATCCTTTATCTTTCAATGAGGACGACCTACAGTTTTTTACCGCACATGTAGTGTGAACCATTTTATTTGCGTGACAGGACAACTCTAGCGAAAAGCTCCCGAGCGACTAACAGACGTTCGGTCCGCCCGCTTCTCGGCCCGCACCGCAACCATACGATTGCCCCGTCTAGACGCCTTCGATGACCGAATGTTAGTAGTAGTTATTTAGACAGAAAAAGAAAATAAAAGATGGTAATAAGTCTGAAGCTGCGGATTTCGATACTCCAAAGTAGTTTGCTTACCAACGGCTTCTTTTTTAAGACATTTTGCCAACAATACTTTGGTGGAGATAGCGAGTTGTGAACTGAAATGTTTCTCAAATTGTTGGCGACTAAATGTAATATCGGTGTGGACACAATGGAAACAGAAGTTGATGACATTCTGGAGAGTTGCAAACAGAGAAGTTACCAATAATTTCGGTGGAAACGCGCCTTTATGCTGGCCACAAACGCTACGGTCTACTGGATAGGTATACCTGTGCAGGTCTGCATGCGCACGTAGACTATTATATAATCTTGCACAGGCAACCGGAAATCAATTATGTCCGCACGCAAACCTGCACACAGTTTGTATAGCATAAAGGCGACAAACGAGCACATAGTTTACCTGATAGTAAGCGGTTGCTGTGGCCCATAGACATATAAATCTATCCTCGATTACGAATCAAAATGCAGATGCGTTGTCACCCGTGAGGACTAAGATAGAATGCCTCGTTTCCAGTAAAATTGGTCTCCGGTTCTCGACACTCACCATACGGAACACAGCAGCGTTTAACTATTTTACGCTCGTATTCTGTGAGCACGTGGTCCTTTACCGATCGAGCCGACCCTACGTTTACATGGTAGTGGCCATGCTGCATCTATATTAGTAGTATAGTTGTAGTACAAATCTTTTCTTTAATCCGTAACGTGTTTGGCTTACATTACTTTACAACTTTTGAATCCCTCACCTTTTAAACTTCAATCCATTACAGCCTATTAAAGTGCACAGCTTAACATAGGGCTTCCCCATATACTGTTCTATAGTGGGGATTTTACTCTACACGACATTACAGCCATTGTTGCCACGTTATGCGGGTCAGCAACCGCAGTTTCTTAATATTTGCATTTTCTTATTTTACTGTAATAAATAGACTTTTTTAAGTAAATAATTCTGAAAAACTCGTACCTGAGCACCATATCCACACACTCCACGTGACTAATAAGGAAATGTGTAACGTGTATGACGCAGCTGTGGTTCTGCGTGCCCAGAGACGTCAGTAGAGCGTCGCACAGCGCCAATGCTGGCACCAGGATCTGACGAAATCTACAACAGCATTAAAAAAATTAATTAAACTACTTGTGTGATGGTGGCGTAGCGAACTTTATAACCATCTCTTAATTTGACCAGTCCTGTCTCACATCGCGCTTTAAGCATAAAAATATACCTACGCTGCGCGGCCAGCTACGTGAGGCTAATTCATTGAGGTTGACATTCGCGCGCTCGAGCTAACACGCGCGTCTCTTTCGCGACGTCGGGAATTAAAATTAAACGCGATAAAATCCGTAAAAGTAGTTTTAATCAGTGTTCGCGTAAATATAAGAAATCGGTAGACTTATTTCACGAAGGTCGTTACGTTGTAACTAGTATTAAACTCCCAAGTTTGCTATCAGAGAGTAATCCTTCTGTTCTTTTACCATTATTTATTCTAAGATTTGACATAGCTCAACAGACCAATAAGCTACAGTGGCAATTGACTGGCGCTATAGCCCCAAGAAAATACCCGATGGGCAAAAAAGGTTTTTGAGTGTCATCCCTGGGTGGCGACGTTTAGGGCGGGCCCACGTTAGTTGGAGTAACGACCCCCCCCCACCCCACCCCACCCCGCCCCGCCGCGCGCTGGGTGACTAACGTCCGTATCGAAGACCGGCCTTTTTGACATTCCTTGGGGGAGACCTAAGTTACACAGCACAGCAGTACACTTTTTTTAAAGAATGAATGAATAAACTCATAGTTTGTTTTTGGTTATTTTCTATCAGTAGATTTGATTTACACAAAACCTTTAAATAACCCTAACTGTGACTTTAAGTGATGCTGCTGTTGTAACCTGTTGGGCACGGAGGGCACGAACTGCGTGTCGCGCTCAGTGGCAGACGTGGCAGCGGTGGCAGCGTGCAGGTCAGGGTGGCAGTGCAGCGCGCGCATGGCGGCTAGGCGGGCCAGCGCGCCCTGCGCCAGCAGCGTCTCCGCGCCCAGACGTGTGCCTGCGATCTTGATCAGCAGCGCCAGCTTCGACTCATACACGTACACCACGCGCAACGACTTCGGGTTCGGCTCGAGGGCCTGCGAGCGGACAAATATATGAAAAGCTGTTGACACATATTATACGCAAAAAGGCAGCGATGATTTAAATAGTGAATATGAAGATAGGTAGGATACCATATTATACATGTGCAAATGAATAATGGTGTTTAAGTCAAAGAGGTCCCAAGTTATGAAGACCGCCTTAGCTAAATTATTGAGCTATATAAAGCAAGCAGTGAAAAGTCAGCAGTACCCTTTTTGTACACAGGAATTTGTAGCTAATTAGTTGACAAAGTCGCCTTTATTTACTCCAACCAATTCGGAAAAAATCATCGGCCATAGCGGACAAAACGGGATAATTTGTTGTTGGTCATGTAGTGCAAAAATATTATGAAAAATTCAGATACAATATTTTTTAATAACTATACATCAAGTTATGTGAAACAAGCCGTGGTAGCTCAGATGGTTAACGCTCGCTGTAAACATAACAGAACGCGCAAACCCAGGTTCTATCCCAGCCGGCACCAATGAAATTGTTTATTGCAATTTTAAGTGGTGATTTACCACGTGCTCGGCAGTGAAGGAAAACATCATGAGGAAACCTGCATGTCTGAGGAATAAGAAAAAAAAATATTTCGAAGACATGTGAAGTTCGCCAACACGCATTGGGGCAGCGCGGCGGACAATTTCTTGCCCTAAAACCCTCTCAGAAATGAGGGGAGGCCTGTGCCCAGCAGTGGGACGTATATAGGCTGTAACTTTAATTTACTTTACAAATTATGTTTCTAACACTGGTTCCAAAATTCCAAGTTAACGAGCATTTTGCTGCTGGTCATAAAGAGCTAGCAACAAAATAGAATAGATCGATAAGCTGCACCAAGTAATTAGTTACTAACTATATGTGTATCTTTACATATATGTGTATCTTTACAAAAGATTTAGAAAAAGACGGCAGATATTTTGTAAAAAAAAAAACACAAACACTCACGCCTGTCACCCAGAGGGTTAGGCAGAGACTACGGACTTCCATTTGGCACGATCCTCACATACCTCTTTCGCCTCCTTTACATCCATATATCTATGCATACATGCTCGTCGGTTAAGGGTACTTCTTCTAACGTGGCTCCTTTTCAAAATATCGCCAATTTGGTCGATAAACTTTTTTCTAGGGCGTCCCTTCCCGACTCGGCAGATATTTTGTAACTGGTCAATAATGAAACCAGCAAGTCATTAAAGGCAGCAACAAAATAAAATTGATTCAATAAGCTAAATCAAGTAGTAAGTTGCAAATTATATGTGTTCCTGCTATCTTTATAGTTTTTTTTAAAGAGACAGCAGACATTTTATTGCTGGTACATACCAGCTGGAACGAGCAAGTCATAAAGTCAGCAACAAACTAAATCAATCGGCAAGCTGCACCAATGAGTAACTTGCTATGTATAATGTGCAAATGCTATCTTTACAAGAGATTTTATTACACATATATTAAGACATAATATTCACAGATGTCAGATGACATAGACAGATGGTTATGTTTTTGGCTTTGGTTACATGGCCATACTAACTACATTACTATTGACAGAATATGTACACAAGTTATACTTGATTCAACTTTATTTTAGTTATATGTAATAATCTAGCCTAATTACTTATTGCTTTGTTTTTTTATTATATTTTCTTTAGTTGTTTACCTTTAAATGCTTTGCTCGTTTATTGATTTTCTTTTTCTATTTTGTTTTAACTTGGCATTTGTTTTCTTTTATTTTCCTGGTGTTATTTTTAATATTGTAAACAGTTAGCCGGAGGGTGATGTATGGAGATATACATATATTTGGTTAGTTTTTGTAATACTCAGTTACATTTATTTGATATAATTTTATTATTTTAAATATTTATATATATTCAATATTATTTTATTATATTATCATTATAATTTTATTATTTTAAATATTTTTATTTAATGTTAGATGATGAATCTTTTTATTCCACTTGCAACAACTCCTCTTCCCTTTCACTTGTTGATGCTTCGGATGAGCCTACCACGCTACGTACGCTAATATACGAAGAATCTCAAAAATTGTTAAACTGTTTTCACATTTGCCATTTAAATGCACAAAGTATCCCTCAACATCATACGGAGCTCCTGTTGCTCCGTTCATGCTATACTCATATCTGAAAGCTGGCTCAAGCCAGAACTCTCTTCCACGTCTTATAGTCTTCCAGGTTATATTTTACTCCGCAACGACCGCACTGGTAAGAGGCGGAGGTGTCGCTATCTATCTGCGTAGTAATTTACCTTATAAAATATTAAACACATCTTCTTCCCTATATTCCGGTTCAATGGAATACATTTTTGTTGAAGTTAATGTCAAGAGTGTTAAAGTGTTTCTTGGAGTTGTCTACTGTCCACCTCTAGTGGACTACTTCTCCGATTTGGAAGTAAATTTATCGCCTTACTGCTGCCTACTCACATCACATTATCATGGGAGACTTTAACACTGACCTATCCGGGGTTTCTCTTAAATCTTCCAAACTGATGTCAACCATGTTGTCGCACAATTTTACTATTTTGTCTCTAAATGTAACACATCACAACTTCCACTCTGCTGACACCTGGATCGACCTTATAGCCGTCTCCTCCGTTGATCGCATTGTCAATTATAGACAATTCCCTGCTTCTGGACTTTCACGGCATGACCTGCTTTATCTGTCATATAAATTAAAGTCTCCGAAGCTTTTATCTGTGTCCATCTCTATTCGTAGTCTTGCTAGAATAGATATGGACAAGATTAAATGCGATGCGGATGCTATTAACTGGTCATCTGTATATACTGCTTCCACAGTTGATGAAAAAGTCGAATTCTTTAACAGCAACATATTAGGACTATATAATGAACAACGAATATTTGAGAAGACAGAAAATGACGATTTTAATCGTCATTTTCTGTCTTCTCAAATAGTTTCTGATAATTCTAGAGCCAATGCTACCTCTTTTATATCTTCCATGCCTCCTTATTCTCATGAAACTTTCACTTTTACTCCTGTAGACGAAGACGAGGTACGTAAAGCACTTTCCTCTATTAAATCGAAAGCCGTTGGATGTGATGATGTGAGTAGGGTAATGCACATGCTGGATTCTATTTTACCCGTGATAACTCATACAATTAACTTTTCGCTGACGAATGGTGCTTTTCCAACTCTCTGGCGTAAAGCCTTTATTATTCCTATTCTGAAATCTACTGAATGCAGCGCTTTATCTAATTTCAGACCAATTTCTATCCTGCCTTTTCTTTCTAAGGTTCTGGAAGCTGTTGCTCATAAACAGATTTCTTCTTTTGTTTTCTCAAAGAATATTCTTTCCCCCTTATCAGTCTGGTTTCCGCCCCGGTCATTCTACAACTACAGCTCTTCTCAAGGTTACGGAAGATATTGAGATTTAGAGATTTGAGGGGATGGAAAAATCAAAACTGACCGTTCTCATATTAATTGATATTTCTAATGCATTTAATTCTATCGATCATGGTATCTTGTTAGCTCTTCTTTCTCATTTGAATATCTCGTCTTCAGCTCAGGAATGGTTCTCAACATATCTTCGAGGGCGCCAACAGGCTGTGTTGGCGCGACTTCTAACGCCGCCTAGCGACGCACCGGAACACCAAACTTTTAGCTACGAATCAGAGCTCGTCATTGTTAGCAACCAATCACAGCACGTCGTGCAATTAGTTATAAGATCTGTCTGTATTAAATTTTGATTATTACCTGATACACACTGTTAGCAATAAGACGACTTAAATATAACCAACAAACGTTCAATAAATCAATCATTGAAGAGCACCTGCCTCCCGTTCCTGTACATAAAGTGGTCCTATCGAGCCGAATAAGGAGTTCAAGCTTGAAATCTCCGAAGATTCGTCGCATCAAAATACGAAGAGGAGATTCACGTATCGAGCGAAGAGCTGCAACGTTAAGGCATCGACAGACAGGAGTGGCAGGTTTGAACTTCCCGTCCGTTTCTCCATCTCATCCTTCGATAGGTGTTGATTTCGTGCTGATATTCCATTTCCAGTGCTGAAGTGGCGGTACCTACCTGCGCAACGGCACCCACCTTGGTTCGCACGCATATACAAATTGGCAACTGTAAGTACTCTTGATTTCCTTAAATCCCAAAATGAGTGAGCCCAAATTGTCAGATTTAATTAAGAAAAGAGGAGTTTTAAAAGGTCGATTAACTCTGTTTGAAAATTATGTTAAAAAGTTCACTTTACCCTTGACTGAACAACAGTCATTAGAATTAAATTTACGTGTCGAGAGTACTTCGAGTTTGATAGAGATGTATAGTGAAATACAGACTAAAATTGAAGAAGAGGTAGCGGAAGATCTCGATCTTGTAAAACAGCTGGAAGAGAGAGATCGTTTCGAAAATCAATTTTATTGTGCTGTAGCTTCTGCAAAACTTTTATTGAGAAAGGAAGTAGCTGACAAGTCTAGTGTTTCAACATGTAAGCCGATAGGCATAAAGTTACCCGATATTAAAATACCTTCCTTTGACGGTTCATACGATTGCTGGCTAGAGTTTAAAAATTCTTACGTTAGTATGATTCATGATCGCGATGATTTAGGTCCTGTTCAAAAATTTCATTATTTAAAATCGTCATTGTCCGGTACCGCGGCACACGTCATAGGTGCATTAGAATTTACGGCTCACAACTACTATCACGCATGGGAGCTATTAGAGAATAGATTTAATAATCCGCGACTATTGGTTCATAATCATGTGAAGGCATTATTTAAAATTCCATCGTTAATAAAGAGTCCGCTTAGATTAGGAACTAATAGATATTGTTTTGAGAAATTTGCGTGCCCTTAAAACGTTAGGTGAACCAACAGATTCGTGGTCGTTTCAAATTGAGGCTGAACGGAATGGGAAGATTTTCAAGGTACAGCTAGTTCGTTAATTGAATCGAGGTCAGCTTTGAAACTGGATGACTTACTTAAATTTCTTAAGGACCGCGCCGACGTTTTAGAAATGATAAAAGTCA